CTAGTTGTTTAGTCATTGGATATGCAATTTTCTCTAGATCTAATCTAATAGCATAGGGAGTAAAGAAGCAAACAATGGTTGCATGCTCAAGTGCTAAAGCAGAGTACCGGCCTCTTGCTTCAGCCACTGCTGAACTCACATGGCTCTCTTTTCTATTGGGGGACCTGGGCATTCATCTTGACCAACCCGTTGTTCTATCCTGTGACAACATTAGTGCGTTCTACATGTGTTACAATCTAGTTTTTCATTAAAAAACCAAGCATATTGAAATCAATTATCATTTTGTAAGAGAAAAAAGTACTACAAGGGTTTCTTATTATTCGGTTTGTATGCTCATTGAATCAATTGGCTGGCATATTTTCCAAAGCTCTTCCCCGTGATAGATTCCAAAGTATACAAGCCAAGTTATGTGTTCTTTTTCCATTCTCACACCTTAACTTGAGGGGGAGTAATAAGGCAACACATTCGAAGGTAATACCATTGCAAAAAGAAAACAAATCAAACAGTCAAGGAAACAAGCCAAAGCAATAGCTGGCTCATACAAGGAAATGAAATTAAAGGTGAAAGGCTAGCTAGCATAATCATTGGCATGCAACGACTAGGAAATCAAGACAAAATCTAAAAGGTCAAATATCAGCAACGACTAGCATAGTTAATGGCATTGTAAATCCTTTCCTTGTGTTCTTCTGTACGTATCTAATTTGCATAAAAATATCATGTAAATACATACCCCCTCAAAAAAAAAAAAAAAAAACAGTAGCCGTACCAAAAACTCCCTCTATTTTAATCCATTTCCAAAATTAGCCATACCATGAAACCTATAAATATACACAATCCACTCAAAAGGAAAATAATTCAGTAAGTGAAAAAGAACGCGCAATTAAGATCAGTCATAGGCGCAGCACGCCCCAACTCCAGGTCCTAGATTTTTTGGTTTGCCGTAATAACCGTTAGCAAGGTGGTGATGGTGGTGATGAATGATGTGGCAGAAGCAGGCACGTTAATGGCTCAAATTAAGCTCCCCGACGTTTGCAGCTTGCTCGGGAGAAACTGTTATCCTGGCTGTCCTGGCACCAGCAACTATATCCGTGGCTGCCTCAAGTTTTACCATTGCCAAGATGGTGGGGGACACGGACATTGAGACAAGAATATCAGAGCTGGTATATAAAAGGATGCATGTGAAAATAAAAATAAAAACTATTATGGCCAGTATCAGGGTGAATATATAATTTTTATGAATTCCAAAATTCGAGTCTTAGGAAATTATCGTTCATATATGTAGCAAAATAAAAGGTTGTTGCATCCTACTTGCAAAACAGTTGTTGCCATATTTTAGGGCTGATAAAGAATTGCTCCATGTGTTAATCTCAAGTTGGATTTAATGGTAAACAAGTCTTATAGGCCAAATCTAGAGTTCAAGTTTCAAAATCAGCAATCAAATTAATTGTGTGGGTGCATGCATTTTTAAAGTTGTTCATAAAAAACTAATCTTGAAATAATCAAAAGTTAACTAAGGGACATACTACCCTAAATATATACAAAAAGAAAAAATTTGCTTCATGTGTTACAAACTTAACCAATTAAGCATATATAGTGTATAAAACCAAGAAAAACATGAAGAATGTATGAAAGGCGGTTGCACCTAAATGCCAACAAATTGACCCCAAAAAGAAATGCTGGAAAAATTAAAGAACACCGTCTATTTTAAATCCATTTCCAAAATTATCTATGACAAGGAAACCTATAAATAACATCAAGAATCTCATACACAATCTACCAAAAAATTATCTATGCAGTAAATTTGCATTAGAAGTGAAAAAGAACGAGCAATTTAAATTTACTCATGGCCGCAACAAATCCCAACAAAAAGTCTTAGGTTTTTTTTTTTTCGCTTTGCTCTAATGACTATTAGCTTGGTGCTGGTGGTGGTGAACCATTTGGCAGAGGCAGCTAGGTCCATGGTCGGAAGACATGAGTGTATTTTCTAAGGATATGGAGTTAGAACGTACAAGTTATCCAGGCAAATTATAAAGAAAGTTATCTTGATTAGACAGATGATTTTCAAAGAAGAAGAAACGTGGAATTGGGTGGTTAATCCATGAGAACCAGCTCTTCATCTTGGCTGTTCAAAAAAAAAAAAAAAAACCAGCTCTTCATCTTGTCTTGCTCCTTAGCCAAGTGGTCACGGCCATTGTTGGCTTGTCTGTTTGTGCTGTGGTTGAACCCAAAGTCCTTCGATGAGATAATTGCAATTTTCTAGATATGTTAGAATTGTTTTTGATTTCTGCATATGTTAGAAACTTTAGAGCCCCAGTAAAATCAGTTTCCGATGTCACATTAGACCAAGTTTTGCTTTGAAGAGGGTTAGTCACCTTCTAATAGCCCAGAAAATGGCAGCCATCAAAAGGCCTAAATTAGAGCCTCGGCTGTCCAAATGATGTTCAGCGATCTCTACCCATTAGCTTTGGCCCATAATCCAAAGGGACCCGGCCTTGGGCCCCAAGGAAGCTCGGGCTACCTCACCAAGGCAAAGGCGTATACCAAGAGTTTTACGCTCGTTTGTTTGCGTTCGAGAGATGTACCATATCTAATAATTTTTTTTTTTTATGGAAAAATAAAAACCATGTCTAATATTCAAATTGAATAGTATTTCAATATTTCTCTGAAATATAAAAGCAAGATCAAAGAGACGTATCATTTATTAGTTTTATTATAAAAACAAATGGATAGGGTTTTGTTGATGGTTGTTTTTGTAAATGATCAAATTTTATTTAGGTAATCTCTACGTCATTAAGATCCACTTTGATCTAAACATCAAGTAGTACTATTTAGTTTTTATTAAAGTTAGTCATTATTAGCTCTATTACGTTGCTAAAGACAAAGCGAACTTAATGTGCTTGACATCACTAGAGTTAGTAAGCTCACAACTGCGCTCAACATAGAGTATATCACTGGAGAAAGGTGAACTCAACATCTTTAGGGCCTTCACATCACCTTGAGTAATTCATACACACTTGACACAGATGGAATGCACTTAGCTCAAACTTGATCATAACACACTAGTGTGAACATTGATAGACACTTATTGCTTAAGCATTGCCATCATTGGTAAAGATCCATAACTACACATTTTGGAGAAAAAGATTGGTTGGTGCCTCCAACATTTATTAAACAATGTTATAATACTTGATTGCATAGCCAGACATACACAAGTATCATTCCTTTATTATTTTCTTTCTTATCAAATTACATCATTTTTATTGACTGATCACCACCTCTATATGCAAGTCATTAATGAACTTATGGGCCCAAGCCCATTGGATGCTTTGGGAAAGATCATGGGAGTCATAGCTTGATAGGCTTGAAGCTATTGGATAGTTGTGTTGTTAAAGTGCAGTATTTGTTTGACCAAGCTTGGGGCTAGGCTTTCACCAAAATAAAAAAAAAAAAAAAAAGCTTGGGGCTAGGCCGAGTTGTCCCTCTTTTCCAAGAAAAGGTTGGTTGATGCTTCCAACATTTATTAGACAAAAAGCCCAACAACATCTAATATTATAACACTTGGCTCCATAGCCAAATACACACAAGTACCCTTCCTTTATTATTTTTTTACTTATCAAATTTCATCATTTTCATTGACTAATCACTACTTTTGTATGCAAGTCATCAATGAACTCATGGACCCAAACCCATTGGATACTTCGAGAAGATCTTGGGAGTCATAGCTTGATAAGCATGAAGCTATCAGAGAGTTGTCCATCTTGTCAGAGTGCAGTACTTGTTTGGCCAAGCTTGCGGCTAGGCTGAGTTGTCCATCTTTTCCAAAAAGGGAACAAAAGCCAGGTAGAAGGGAAACTTGGCCAAATAAGCTGGCTGGATCCCTATTAGAGAAGTCATTCTGCCAATAAATGCAATTATAAGCTGGTTCATATGATTAAAGCAATTTTCACAATAGCCAAGGTATATTTTATGCATGGTTAACTTAATGGGCAAAATCATCGCACTGCCTAAAGATCCAGTGATATTCTTCACTGCCCAGATAAAGGATTCCTTCATAATAAAAACTCAAAGATGATTCATTAACTCAACTTCTTCATCATTATTTACCAAAAAATAGAGTTGTATCGTCAACCATATTTGGTGACCTCTATCACAACTAGCCATGGACCAATATAGTCTATCCAAGACACTGCCAAAGTATTAGTGGGCAATACCAATTCCTTATTGAAAACCCAAAAACTATACCGAGCATTAGATTCATGCCCATATCCTAACCATTCTCTACCGTTAGAT